AATTTATTTTGATGTCTAGACTAAAATGGAGGCAAACAGTCTGAAACAAGCCACATGAAAGACAGGCGACTGGATGGATGGACAGACGGATAAACAGATAACTTACACTTTCAATACAAACTTTTGTTAAAAATGACAAAACTTGTGGAACACAAATCTGGTGTTTGAATGACCACAACACAAGTTAAAATTGAAAACAACACAATTTTTGTTCACCAAGTAAACAGAACACATATGTGTTGGCTGTTGCAAAAAATGTAAGTTTCAATTCTTAGAATCTACATATACATAATAATAATAAGGTTTTTAATGGATTAATAGTCAAACACTGCATATAAACAATATCTAAGTAGCTATATGAAATGAAGAACGACACCTTTCAACTTATCACTACTCCCCTGATTGCTCAAACAGGAGCTCGTGATTATGCATTATTCCCCTGAATGGTTGAATCTGGAACTTATGGTTTCAGAAGAAAAATGTATTTAAAGAAACACATTTTAAACTTAAAACCTGACGTCATTAGTTTTGCTAGAAAACAGAAAATAAATTGTGTTTTTATTGCTACAATCATCAATTGTGTTATAATGTTCACAAATTTGTGTTATTGTGAAATAATTAATTGTTTTTGTAAATCTAACTACATTTTTCTAGAGTATAGTATCTTGTTAAACTAGCTTTTATGACTACCTAATTTAGAAAAATAACAGTAAGGACCAAACTTAATTAAGTTTTCATTAGCTCTATTTTGCGTTGACAGTTTCATAGTTTTGTTACTATAATTCTAATTGGCTCTTGCGTTTATAATAATATGTGTTGCGTCAGCGAGGTCACGTGACTAGTATCACGCCACGTCTTTCTAGAAATATCATGTTCCTTCATGAATGCCCTAGCATTTACTAGACATGTGTTAGTCTTGTATACATAAGACCGGCCACGAAGCGACAGGGAGGTAATGAGTAATTGAATGTATGCGGATAACATATTGTTGGTCACGTGAGACGTGAGTTATAGCGTTGTTATGGAGCGACTGTTGAAATTAAGTGTATCGTAAAGTTGTATTCGGAAAGAATAAACCAGTTTTATTTAAGAAAGGACTTGTGTCGCTAAAGTTTCGTCGGAACGAATTTACGGAAAATTAACTAACGAACAGAGACGTAACAAATTGGTGTCAGAAAGTGGGATAAAAAAAAAGAGAAAAAGAGAAGATGGAAACGAGAAGCGGCAAATCAAACTACAACTTAGCAGATTTGATGGCAGCAATACAAGAACAGCAAAAGAAACAAGAAGAACGAGAAAGTAAACAAGAAGACGTAACATATGTTTGAACTCAAAGTAAAAGTATCGACTACTAGTGAAACAAACGATAGGCTATTTTTAAGAATACGAACTTTGTTTCGATTTGCAGCCTATAAAGTTTCTCTTGCAGAGCCCATTTTTTATCTTTTCTAAATCAATTTGAATAACATCCATGTTTCCTGGTTTAAAATCTGCTTCCGAACTAGCTGCTGTTTTCGATTGTTCGTGCTTTATTGTGACTACAGAGTAATTATACTGTAAATAAGTGAAAGGTTTACAACTATGGTGTATATAAAGAACTGGTATAGCTGAAAACTTTGTTATATTAGATCCGCTGTATATGATGGATATATCTTCTATTGCCCCCTAGTGGCACAACGGTATGTCTGCGGACTTAGAACGCTAAAAACCGGGTTTCGATACCCGTGGTGGGCAGAGCACAGATAGCCCTTGTGTAGCTTTGTGCATAATTAAAACAAACAAACAAACTCTTCTGTTTCTTTGTGCATCAAGTCAAAATATAAATAAGTATTAGAAATCTGCACGTTAGTGATCAATGGGATCGAAATGATATTCTGGGAGTAAGCATTGAGTTTTAATACTTATTAATTGGTGTGAGTAGCATTATTATGAAGTACTTGATTGCCACATTCATCCATTGAGCTTGAATTTTTAATGCAAATAAGAATGATTAAAACCATAAAAATGTGAATGATATATTTTGTATAATACATTATTACATATTATTTTTATTTTATTTTTGATTACTACGGTTTCATTTAAACAAGAGATTGATAAAACTCTGCAGGAGGATTATGTCAATACTTAATCTTTAATAAACCGTAGTAGAGTTGGATGATTCTTCATTCAGATTGGGCAGACATGATGAGCTTGAATTGAAAAGGTGTAGTGTCATTAAGATGTTTTCACAACATATATTTTCAAAGTAGTTGCACTGAAGTAGGAGAAATTTGTTTAAAATTATATACAAATTCCTTATTTGTGTTAGTAACGTAAAACGCATTCTGCTTTTGAAATCTGTAAAGAAACAAAGCTATGATAGGTCAGTTATAATATGTAGCCCATAAATACTTGGGTGCAGGAAAAGGAAGAACAGCTCAGTCATATTTCCATACTTGGTTTGAAAAATTATTTATCAGTTTGTATCTACTACTTTTTGAATGTTTTGAAGAACAGACGTTTAAACATATCACATTAGAATAAAATTGTTGTAACAAACACACCTCCTAATCTTATGAAATTACAAGTTTTAAGAAACGTAACGGATCATTTTACAAAATTGTCAGAGTGAGAATTTGATACAGAAAAAAAGGACACGCGTCTTATCAAACAAAATCACTCTGTTCATTGTTTGTTGTCCATAATGAGTTATCTTTTCCCTTGATACGTCAGCAGTGGTTGGTGGCCACAGTATTTTTATTGACA